GGCTCCTCCTGGCCTGCTCCTGGTCCCCCAGTCTGTGGAGGACTGAGACAGAGTGGGGTGGGCACAGGGTGCAGCCCCACAAAGAGAGCCCTGATTGATCCCCCTTCTGATGAGCTCCAGCTAGAAGGCATCCCCAAGGCCTTATGAGATGCAGGAAGCAGAGGGGAAAGGGGAGGATGAGCCACAAAGAGGGGGTGGTGGCTGGGAGATCAGAGAGGCAGCAGAGACGGCCTCCAGCAGACAGAAGGAGGAAAACCAGAAAGCAGGCGGCTGGGCACACGAGATGGGCGTGCAGGAAATAAAACAGAAAGAAAGCAAGTGGCACAGACAGGGAGAGAGAGGAGCAGATCTGTCAGGCCAGGCCCTGCCCCTCCCCCTGCCTGCTACCCCAGGGCGTCTCTGGCTCCTCTATTCCCGGAACGTGCCAAGCGCCTTCCTGATGCAGCCGGCCGCGTACATGCTGTTCTCAGCCTGCACACCCGGCCTGCCCCTCCTCTGCGCCTCACACCAGGCCTGCTTAACTCCTCCACACCCTCCCTCCTAGGCTGCTCACTCTCCGGCTGGGCTGGGCTGCTGCAGCCCAATGCAGAAAGCATGCTGACCTGCGGTGAGAAGGGCGTCCTGAATGTCAAGGTCAGGTCATCTGAGAGGGCCAGGCCCAGGGCAGCCCTACAGCCGCATAGCTCTCAGCCTTGGGAGTCAGTACTGCCCAGATTCCGTCGGCCTCCCTGACACATGCACTGTGGCAATTATTTCATTCCGTTTGTTTATGCCCACAGAGCCAGCAAGTCCACAGAGCAGGCTCCATAGATGGAGGTCTGGTCAAAAATTACAGGAAATGTTTAAATTTTTAAAAATCTATTACATAGTAAAAGATACATTATTTCAAAGTCCAACCCCTCGCTTGGAACAGACTGAGCCATTTTCTTGCCGCTTTCTGAAGCAGTCCTGGAAGTCCTGCCTTGATGTCCTGAATGAATTCAAGACATTCACCTGTCGTGGTTATTTTGATTTTGGGGAAGAACCAGGAGTCTTAAGTCCCAGAGCCAGCAAAAATGGTAGATTACGACACCACATCCTGTTTTTACCAGCCTGCCCTTCCTCTGCGTGACAGCAGTAGCATTCACCAGATTTTTGATCACTCCTTTAAAGACACTCATGAAAGAGGGCTTCCAGAACTGCTTCAGAAAGTGGCAAAAATGATGGGATTAAATATGTCTGAAGAGAGGGGAAGGATTCTGAGGGGGCGAACGGCCCTGTGTCTTTTCACTGTAATACACTTTTAACATTAAATATCCACCGCATATTTCGATCACCCTTTCTACACTTTACACACAGCTGTCTTTCCTCGACCTAGCACAGAGGTGCTCAGTGAATTCTCCAGAATAAAGAAGGAGTGGAAGCTGGCCAGACATGAGGGTGGGAGGAGTGAGCAGGCCAGAGGACAGGAGAGTCAGGGAGAGGGGATTTTAAAGAGGAGCCGCCCCAGCCGGGCTGGCGGGGCTCAGGCAGGCGATACTCACAGCTGGTCGATGGGCTGTCGGTGCCAGTGCCGTCCAGCTCGGCCCCAGGGAAGCTGTGCCCGGAGCGGGCCATAAGCAGCGCCGACTCGATGGCCCTCTCGTGGGCGGTAAGCACAATGGCGGGTGCCCGGGCCCCGGCCCCAGGGCCTGACAGCGACTGCTGCATGACGGCCAGCTTGTCCTTGGTCCTCCGCTTCATGTCATCCCATCGGTGCTTAATGTCCTTGACAGAGCGGGGGACCTGGCTGATGGAGGTGATTTTCCGAGCTATGCCTTCCCAAATCTTGTCCCTGTCAGCATGGGACAGCCGTATGGTCTCCCTCCCAAAGAGAACCGCTTCGTGGCGGGTCACCTCCGTGACCAGAATGTCCAGCTCCTCCTTGGAGAACTTGGGCTTCCTCTTACGCTCGGCCAGGGGCACCACATTCCTTGGGTTGAATATCCCACAAAGCACAATTGGATAAATGACCGTCACTGCTGGTGGTCCTCCTCCTTCTAACTGCGCCCCCAGCTGGGGAGCCAGCAGGCACCTACCTGGGTCAGTGACCTGGACCCACCACACCCTCCTCCAGCTCAGAGGTCCCTTCTACTAGTCCTCGGAGAAGATGCACAGGAGCAGGGTGGGGGCCCTGGACGAGCCCAGCACCTGTAGGGTAGTGCAGCTCCCGGCCTTACCCTTACTATCACCTTACCCTTAGTAGAAGCCCAAGCCCACCTGCTTCTTGAGTCAGCGCTGGGGTGGCTCAGGTTCATTGGGCCTCCCACCTGCCCGCCCCACACACAGTGGAAGTAACAACCACACCAGCCTCAAGCATCCTGAGTACCAGACCTCCAAAGCGGAATAAGGAGCTCTTGTGGAGGTCAGGGTTAGACTACTGCCTCTATAAAAACAACATTTGCACTGAGCCCTGCTGCCAAGCGAAAGGCTTAGAGGAAGAACATTGCACCAGGGAGACTGTCCACCCGGCTGGTGACCAGGGGCATTCGCCGGTGGCACCCACTAGCACGGGTTTATTCTATTACTTGTGCACACTTCCTACCTGTCCCCCAAGTTCCCACCTCTGAGTCTACACAGGAAAGCAGGCTCCCCTCCTGCAGGAGCACCGCTCACAATGCTTTTGGGAAGCTATTCTGATTTTCTGGTGGGATTAGAGGAGCCGTGGCTTCCATCCCTGCCAAGCAACCAGGGCCTGGGCAAGGGGCACCCTGTGGCTCTATCCAGCCTTTAATTAGTGCTGCAAGGTTTGCACAGTCCACCCTAGAGAGCCACGAGGGTGCAGCAGTACCCCAGAGCCCATTCTGTGCCTGCAGGGCACGCAGGACAGCGACACGACGGTCCCGGCATCCTCTCCCCAAGTTCCCTGCGGAACATCAGAGTTGGGAGAGGAAGGCTGGGGGCTCGGACCTTGCCCAAGATACTGGTAGGGACAGGGACCTTCATGCAAATTCGACTAGGCTGTCTCTTGGGGCCACCAGGTCTAGAATATTAGAGGGACCACTCCAGGGCCACCTCCCAGGGCTACCAGAGGTTTTGATGCATTTTTCTCTATTGAAAAGTTCCTTGGGTGCAAGAAGCAACCTATGACAGAGAATTCTTACTGGCATCATTGGTGTCAACATGCTGCAAACAAATAGTATCTTCCCATAAAACTGTGCCCACCAACCATGTCCCAAGACATACAATAGAGCACCAAGCCTAGGGTGGCCACCAGTCAACATTCAAAGTGGAAGAGTTCCGTGCCTTCCTGGCCCACCACTTCCCTGCAGAAACCAAGTGCCTATCTTTTCACAAGAGCTGACGGAATGGAAGCCGCACCCATGCCCACGCCCACCTGCTTCTTGAGTCAGCTTCAACTGGGGCCACCAACCAGGGCCTCCCACGATGGGCCTGAGAGCAGGAGCAGGATGGTACCAGGCTAGCACAAGGCATCACCCAGGCACAGACAGAGGGAACCCTGTCCCGAAGTCCAGAGCTGCAGGCTCTAGTCCTTGTTCTGCCCCTGACTGTAGCATTGGGCAATGCCTTGCCTCCTCTGTCCGAAAGGAGTGCTCCCTCTCAGGGGAGTGGAGGGGGCTATGGGAAAGGTTTATTCCCAGGCAAAAGCTCAAAGGTAGAAGCTGGAAGGCAGAACAGGCTCAGAGTCACAAGCCAAGGTCCTAGAGCCTTGAGACTGGTAGCGTGTGATCCCAGATGGGACCGATGCCAGATCCCATCACACACTCCCTCCTGGCTGCCTGAGCCAGGCCAGAGTGACCCGCAGGGAGCCCAGTGGGTTGGCATGTGCCACCCATCAGTGGCCTTTGGGCCCCCCTGGAGGCCCATGTCAAGGCCCCTCCTCCTCCAGCCCAGCATGGGTTCTGCCTCTGTGCCACAGCCATATTGGAAAAAGCCACTTCTGTGGTGCTGGGAGGGCCACCCCAATGCCCAGTCCAGGCTCACAGCGGACACAGGCACTCGACACAGGGAGATGAAGGGTGCTCCTGAGCTGCCCCAGATCTAGGGTCAGGGAGTATCACCCACCTTCCTAGGGCACATCCAGGGCAGGGGCTGGGCTGACCCCGCAGAAGGCCAAGGGTGGGAGCTTGGCTCCACCCTGTAAGGTGGAAGTCCCCCTCCAGTGTCCCTGCTCCCATGCCTCTTCAGCAGCACTGAGAACAGTGGTCCCACCAAGTCAGAGATGAGCTGAAAGTGCCCCAGGAGGGGATACTGGGGCTGGGCCCCAGGCCTCCAGACAGGGATCAGGGGGCAGGGATTCATCCCACCTCCCCTCTTCTAACCCGTCTCTCACTGCTGGGAAACTCAGAGCTGAAACAGAAAGGTCCCATGGTGCACATCTTGGTGGGTGCTCATGGGACTCACATCCCACCCGCAGCAAAGGTGCTGCACAGACCCCAGCAGGGCCCCTGCTCCAGCCATCGAGGACCCTGTGCCCAGGTCTGCACCCACTCACCAGCCCTGGTCCCAGAGCTAAACCACCGAGGAGGGGGCAACAGGCAGTGTGACCCCTCACCCCACCGACACACGGCCCTGGCCAGTGACCTGCAGTCCACCTCCTGTCTCTCTGGCTGGCCTGGAAGGCCCTTCCTGGCTCAAACTCCTGTCCCACGCCCTGGACCAGAGCAGCACTTTTGAAAGCTCTCGAGCCTGGTGTGGGACACAGTCCAGATCGGAGCTGGAGACTCTTTCAGAAGCCTCCTGTCCCACCATAAGCTACAAACAAGACTGCCCCAGGGCAGCTGCCCTGACAGCAGCCGAGTGGGATACTCTACCCCATCCAGGCGCACAGCCCGGGTCCTCTGTAGGCACTGGCAAGAGTGCAGCCTCTAGAAGCCCCCGATGGAGGCTTGAGGAACCCAAAGCTAGATGTGTCTCAAACTATGCAAACAGCTGCCTCCTCCCTGGAGACAAGACAGGCCCACACGGCCTCTATTCAGGGCCTTCGAAGCTCCTAAGACACCAGAGGGGGCAGGACTCACCTCATCCAGTTGGCCTTGGTCTCGTCCGACCCATCGATGGATTTGTAGCGGTTGTTCTTGTCCACAATCTGGAACATAGAGACAGGCTGGAGCGGGCCGTTCTACAAGAGGCTCTCACGTCCCCAGGCACAGGGCCCAGGGCCTGGTCACACCACTGCCCGTCTCCCTTCCCTCTGCCATAGGTCTGAAACCCAAGCTGGCACAGGGAGTCCTTACCACCCACTCTCTGCTCACTGCCATCCCCCAAGAGTCACTGGAAAAAATGCAAAGCCCTCCAGTATGTCCTGAATCCCTGGGAGACGAAGGATATGGACAGGACAATCCCTCTCATCTGTCTTGATGGAAAACCCAGCTATGCAGCCAGTGAGCGCCACCTCAACAGCCTGCGCTGTGACAACTAAGCTGGAAGCCAGCCCACTCTCTGTACTTCTGTGGGAGACCAGAGGACTGGGCACTTGCGACTGAAGGGGTCCTGCCTCTCCCCAACCCTAAATATACAAGGGTTTGGGCGGGGTCACTTCTGTAAAAAATGTCTTTATTTCACCATGTTTCTTGAATGCCAATGCATGGAATTCCAAGCTGTTTTTTTCTGTTGTTGTTTCTTTCAGTGTACATTCAAGACTGACCAAAAGCCCCGAGTCATAGCAACCTGGTGCAAGTCCGAAGTTCTGCAGGTAATCTGCCTCTGGCAAATGTTTGGGTTGGTTTGTGTCCTTGGAGACAGTCTGTCTATGTGGACTGGCCTCCTCTTGCTACGTAATCCAGGCTAGCCTCGAACTCATGGTCATCCTGCCTCAGCCTCCCCGGTGCTGGGATTAGAGAAATGCACCACTATGGTAAATACGATGGCTTTCTGTACTCATGATTTTCTGCCCTTTAGCTCTATGGCTTTGAAGGTGAGATGTATTTTACAAAATTCTCCTCCTTCCTTGATGAGCACTTGCAAACTGGAGACTAGTGTGTCTCTTGCAATTCTGAAGGTTCTCACCCATTGTATTTTGAGTGCAGCTTCTAGCCACTTTGTCCATTCTCTCCTGATAGGATTTCTTCTTTCTTTCTTTCTTTCTTTCTTTCTTTCTTTCTTTCTTTCTTTCTTTCTTTCTTTCCTTCTTTTTCTTTCTTTCTTTTTTTTAGGATTTCTATTAAACACACACAGGAGTAGCATATGTTTCCCTCCGTATCTCTCTGGGCGGTCTCCAGAAACATTTCTCAGGATCCTCTTCCAATTCACTAGTTCTCTATCCTTGTTTCCTTTTTAAATGAATGCTTTCCATCCAATGAAAAACTTCCATTCCCATGATTGTTAGTGGGTTCTTTTCCAGATCCATCTTTTTCCTTCATTCATTTTGGTTTCCTTGTGCCATGTGGCCCCTTCTCCCCCTTCTGGTACCAGGATAAAGGTGGATGCCATGCATCTGTACTGGCACAAGCTGCTCAGCCCCCCAGAGGCCTGGACTTCTCGCCAGCCCTTTGCTACCATTCTCGACTCTCCATCAGTTCGACTCTCCATCAGTTCTACCCCGAAGACCACCTCACTCATCAGCTTAAGATTTTAAAGTCATGGTGATGACAAAGTTTATACTTCTGGTCACAGCCTTCCATACCTGCAGACCCCTCCATACATGCAGATCTGAACCACTGGCCTTGGGCTTGCCTCCTGCCCTGCTCTCTCCCATTGTGCTCTGGGAGTTAACCTTGGCTCTGCATCAGTTCTACTCCCAGACTTCTCTTCTCTACTCTCAAAAAACAATCACAAAGCACTTCGGGCATTCAGAAGTGACAGAGAATAACACAGCCGACAATCCTGTGCCCATCGCTGGAGCCAAGAAAAGCTCACACTAGTTATATTTATCGCAGAGCCTTCTCTCCTTTCGCCTCAAGAAAATTCTAAGACGCAGCTGACGATGCTCTCAGCCTCGGGCTCGTCCTCCTTTCTGCCCTCCCCAAGGGCAGCCACCTCGAGGGGAGCGGTGGGCAGCCTTCTCGTGGCCCCTCCTGGAGGAGTCTCCCCCAAACAATGGCTACCACTCCATGGCTTGCACGGTCAAGGTTGCAGTGAATGACACTCGCGTAAACGCGTCCTTTATCAACTCTTTCCCACCAACCTTTGGGTGCCTAGGGTCCCCTCAGATTCTGTCCCCTCCAGAGAACAAGGCTTTCCTGATCAGATCCTAAGCACACAGTTCTCCCATCACACTGGTGACCCTGTCCCTAATAAAGTGAATGACACATGATACACATTGGCTGAAGGAAGAAATGACTGCCTGAAGAGACTTCTGGATCAAAAACAAGTTTTAAAAAATATATATGATGCTAATATTTTAATTTAAGAAAAGAGTGTTACACTGGAGCTGGCTTGCACTGACTAATGGGGGCCAACTGTTAAATTTGCAGGAATTTCGTGCATGAGTTATTATAAACAGCCATTATTAAAACGGAACGATATAAAATTATGATTCCATGGATTATATATTTTTAAAGACAATACTCAAAACTTACCATGTTCCAACTACTTCACTGTTACCTATGCCGCTATAGTTTGGGTCTAAAATGTCCCCTCTGAAGCTGAGAGTGAAAAGAAACTCATCCTCTTACAAAGCTGATTGTCTCAGGTATTTCATTACAGTCACGGGAAGAGCTCAGGAGGGTGCTGTGTCTCCGCATCAACGCGGCGACGGAAATGCCACACCCCAGCTACTCCCGCCTACTTTTTCCTAGCTGCGCCCTCTGAGACAGGGCTGCACAGCTGCGAAAACAATTACACCGCAGACGTTGGCCCACCATCACTGAGAGGCTGCCAAACGTTCATCAGCGTGCCACCATGCATACGTGTCTTTTTGTGACTTGGTGACTTCCACCATTTGCACTGCTGGGGGTTGAGCCCAGGGCCTCGTGGCCCTACCACTGAGCCACACTTCAGCCCACACACGTGGGTCTGCACAGGCACTGAAAGTCCAGAGACGCCTTTCAAACTGTCAACTCCGGTGAGCTCCACAGAGGAGGCAGAGGAAGTGAGCACACTGGTATATGAGACTACACTGTCTGTGTGGTTTAAAAAAAAAAAAAAAATGAAAAGACAAAACACACAGCTGGGGCTGCCCCTGCTCCGAAGTCTGCAGTCCCCACTGGCACAACCCTGGAGTCACAGGGAGTGCTGTCCTTCATCCAAAGCTGACATCCCTGTTTTGTCGCTTTATGATGGCTCTTCTCTATACTGAGGGAAAAAAGCACTCAGAGTCCCCAGCAAGCAGTGGGAGCCCCTGGTGGGTAGCAGGAATCCCGGAGCCAGAGAAATTGGCTAGAGCCTCTGCCTTTGAGCTGAGTGGCCTTGGGCAGCTGGCTTGAGTGGCCATGCCTCGTCATCTGTGACATGAAGGAAAGGCCCTGCCTGCAGCCCAGCTGGCACGGCGGATGTGAACGTCTCTGTCAGCACTGAGCTCGTGACCGTGACCAGGAGAGAAAGGGTCGGGTGTGAGTTCCGGGTGGGCGAGGTGTGGGTCAGCACCGAGTCATTACAACCAGCCTTTTGCAGTGTGGCACTCACTAGGCAGGCACAGAGGCCTGGGGGGCCCGGGGAGGTCCCTGGGCTTGGGGGAGTCCTTGTGGGATACAAGAACTCTGAGCTGGACAGAGTTATGCTGGGAGCTTGGAGAGGATGGAGTGAGTGCCCAGGCTTGCTGTTCCCCATGGCCTCCGGAGTCTAAAGCTTAGGAGATGACTCTTCGTGGACATACCCTCAGAAAAATAAAATGAAAGAGTACATGGTAGCCACCCGGGTGAAGCCCAGTCCAAGTGGACAAAATGCTATCTCTGACCATGGTCATTATGATGACAACAGGGACAATAAAGTATCCCCAACAGCTGCCACCCCTGGAGTAACTTCCCGGAGCCAAGTTCTCTGATACCCTCCCCCATTACATTAACACTCATGAATTATGAAGCGGATGCAGGGACTGTCCTCACAGTACTTGTTCCCACGAGAGAGAATAAGCACAGGGCTGGAGTGCACCTCGCTCTCTGCTGGCCCAGCCCATGTCTTACCCAAGCTGCAGGGTGGAGGGCGATGCCCCTCCTTCCTATCCCAGAGCCTCCACTCCAGCAAACCTGCCAGGTGCAGACTGGCATTCTAATGGGCAGGGCCCACCACTCTGCGGCTGAGTATCTGCTGCCATCGGGATTCGCTGCTGGGCGCGTCCAAATGAAGCCATGACCAAATGTTGCAGAAACTGGATTTTCAAAGACCTGATCCATCTGCGACTTTCCAGGAACCCACAGAATCCATTCAGCATCCTCATTTTCCACCCCACACCTCCTTGTAGCATGAAGCAGGTGCAGAAAGGCCGAGCAAGACCACTCTCGGCTGCCAGTCCACTTCAGCGTGCTCCCGAGGCTTCTCCCAGGGCCCTCGGGAGGTCAAGGGCATCGATCGCCTCTCTTCCCTGGCCTCTCACCAGCTAAGTCAAGCAAAGACCACGAGGGGAAGGAGGTTGCCCTCAACTTAAACTCTGGTCTCTGCTCTTCTCAGAGTCAAGAAGTGAAGAACACACGAACCAGACAGGGGCCCAGAGAGCCAAGACTCGGGCTCCTATTCTGCTACCCAAGCACACCAGGTGGGCCTCTTGTGAGCAGGGGCCCAGGATTATGCCCACGGCATGCTGCGAGCCTCTGTGTGGAAACCTCTCTCAGTGGAGCTCAGTGGCACTAGCACCTCCCTCGCAAGCGCAAGGTCCTAAGTTCAATGCCTGGGACTTTGGGAAAAAAAAAAAAAAAGTGACCAGCTCTGAGCAGCTCCCTAAGTGATTCCAATATTCAAGCGCCAGGGCCTTACCCATTCACCCTCATTTAACTGGGAAAGAGGTGAGTACTTCCTTTCAGTGTTCTTAAACCACCTTGATCCAATTTCTTTCTTCGAAAACCACTGCATGGAGGTATGGCTGACATACTCAGAGCTGTACCTATTCCATGCTTACGTCCTGCTGAGTGTGGACAGAAGGGCACACCCAGAGAGCCACGGTCACGAGTGTATTGATCATCTCCAAATGTTTCCTTCTGCCTCTCCTAACTTCAT